CACAGCGCCCCTAGAGGACAGAGTGGAACTGCCCACAGGGTCTCCAAGGCTGTCAGTCTTCACAGAAGCAAAGCCCAAACCACACCCACTGCCGGGAGTCGATCCTGACTCACAGCGCCCCTAGAGGACAGAGTGGAACTGCACCACAGCGTCTCCCAGGCTGTCAAGCTTTACAGAAGCAAGCTGGCCTCATATTTCTCCCATGCAGCAGCTGGTGCGTTAACTGCCAACCTTTTGGTTAGCATCCCTATGCTTTAACCAAAGCGCCTCCAGAGTTTTTATCAGTCTAAAAGCAAACTGATTCCTCCAATCCCCGCACCAGCTCCTCCTCCTACATATTTACGGTAAGACCAGCACCCACTTCAAGGATCCACGGAAGCCCACGCACCCAAGAATGCCGCCATAACCGCAGCCTGTTTCCAGGCCCCCTAGCCCTTGAACTTGCTGTTACCGTCTTGTTTGCTACCGTCCTTCCAATCGGCAAAACTACTGTCATAGAAAACTTTCCTTCCCAGATCCCCACCACATACACACAAAGTCGCCGCCGCCTGCTTCCCCTTATAAACTGCTAAAGCCTCCTCTCTCAAAGACATGTCACTGCTTAGTCGCCCGTTGGAACCGTCCACACCTAGAGGGCAAGGACTCGGATGGCTCCCCATCTGCGAGGCGACAGGGCTCTCCAAGACCCGAAAGGAGGGATTAAGAGACACAGGAAAAGCAAGAAATGGGAATCGTCCCGGATGTCGCCGGCGTCCGCACCAATGTCGTACCTCGATGTACTCTTCCTCGTCCAAGACCTGCTGTTTGCTCGTCGCAGCCCTTGTCGTCCCTGCTGTGCGCTTCCGCCCCGGCTTCCGCGCGGTGGCAAGCAACAGGGCCCGGGCCGAGGCGCCGGGAGTCTCCATTGCTATCCCAGAACCGCTCAGATGGCGTAGGCGCGTTACAGGGCCGTAGCGGTACGTGTGTCTGGGGGAGGGGTGGAGCGTGAAAGGAGAATGCACCAATGGCGCAGGCGCTATACAAGGCCAGCCAGTAGGGGGGGGGCCCGCCGGTCCGCCGATGTGACGTCACAGGGGTCGCTGGGCCTTATGGGAGTTGTAGTCTTCATCCCGTCCAATGTTAAGCATGCGCGCCTGGGCTGTGGCCCAAACTAAGCTATGAAAGAATGCTGAAAAATTTTTTTCCTGCTATTTATCTAGCAAACAACAAAAACAACAACAAAAATGGTGGTTCAATTAAAAAAATATATCTAGTTAAAGATTATTAGGCATCTGAATGACAGCATGGTGCACTTCCCATGGAATAATTGCTTCCCAAAAGGAGAATTACAGCAAACAAATTCTGCCCAAATAATGTTAGTGCATCTTTGCTTTTATAGTATGCAGGCATCCCTTGATTCCCTGGGGACTCCATGGCGATGCTTCCTGGCCTCATAGAGCTGCCAGTCCAGTCAGGAAGACAGACACCAGTTAGATCATGCCACAAACAAACATAAGATTGCAGCTGTGAGCTAGGTAGAGACAAGGATTGATTTGGGTGAAGGAAAGGACAATGTACCATAAGTGAGTGATCCACACAGTGACACTGAGGAAGAGGAAGACAGAGAGCGGTACATGGGAGGTGCAGACAACAAAGATGACCCTTTTGCACGTACAGTACTGCACTGTCAGTGACGGCAAGCATTGATCTCTGGGTGGATGGAGGGGTGGACAGGCTGAAGGACCAGGTATGTCTAGGCAGGGGAGAAGGTGCCCATGGCCATATACGGGGTGGCAGATGACGTTTCTACAAGCATATTTGAATGTGCTGTAAGAATGTCAGGTGTGAAGCAGAGCTGGCAAGGGATAAGGTTATGGTGACTGCTCAGCCCCAGCCAGCTACCCTCAGGGAGCAAGTAGTTGGACCTGTGGGTTTGGGACCATGGTTGCAGGGACATCAAGCTCAATTGGCATAACATACTACACAAAACATTGTTCTACATCTACTTTGGGGAGTAGGCTATTAAAAGCTTGGATCTGGGATCTTAAAAGTTTGCAAGAGGACTTCTAGATGCAACAACGTGTCTCTCCTCATCCAGAGCAAAGAAGAATAAAGAAAAGGAAAGACACATGGAAACAATTAGTCCAAGGGATTAGTAGACCATGTGATACTCAGCCTATATGACCATGAGACCAGAACTAGATGGTGCCAGTCTACCACTGTCAACCACTCAGAGGGGGATCGTTGCAGGAGATCCTGGATACAGTGGGACAACAATGGGGAACAAAACTCAAAATCCTAAAAAAGAACAGGTTTGCTGGTCAAATAGAGCCTGGTGTGACCCTGAGACTATGGCCCCTAGTTCCCTTCAGGTCTGGAACTGAACTCATTCCTGTGGCTTCCAGCCAAACGACAGGCAGGCATATGGGGTGATCATTTACATCAAGTAGCTACACCCCTTTGAGCAACAAATAGTAGGGGAACAGAAGGGCAATGTTTGTACAGGGAGAGAGCTGGGAGGGGGGAGTTCACGGGAGGGAAGGACACAGAGAAAAGGTAATTATGGGGAGAAAGTGGGAAGAGAGCCGTTACATTGTGGGGAATTGCAGTCAATGTCATGAAACAAAATATGAATTGCTATATGGAAAATGGATTTGCTCTGTAAATTTTCATGCAAATCACAATAAAAAAAAATCACAGCTGTGACAAGTACAAGGAAAGAGTTTGTATTGGGGGGATTTGACCTCATAGGGGAAGTCAAAGATGTTTCCCTGGTGTGGTGGTTAAGTTTGTGTGTCAACTTGGCTGCGCCTGGTTGAGTGGCTGGGCAGCTGGATGGAGTTATTCCTCATGGTGAGATTGGTAATTAACTCCATGGTGGAATCTATTGGAGCAGCTGAGTAGCTGCTTTGGGTATGTGTCTACTTCCCATATATAAGAAACAGCTTTGAGAATGGTCTCTAGCTTACGGCACACCTGAACCCTGCATGTAGTCACGTTATTGTTCAGCAGCCTGCCATGTTCTGCCGACCTTGGGACTTTCAATGGACCTGAATTAATGGCCTGCCATGTGGTTTGATAATATCAGGACTGTCCTTTTTTACTTGCCAACCTTGGGCTTGTCAGTCTCAGCAGCCAGCAGCTGTCTGAGCAAGAAAAGCCTCTAGCTCCAGTGAGCAGGGAGCAAGAGGCAGAGCTGAAGCCTAAGGTTGAGGGGCTTTCACCCAGCCCCTAGAGCCTGGCACTTTGAACTCAGACTTAAAGCCTCCAAACTGTAAGAGAATAAACCCCTGTTTGTTCAAGCATCCCATTTGTGGTATATTCTTGTCAGAGTGGCACTAGGTAACCAGAACACCTGGGTAGGAAGTGATTGCAGAGCCAAAGGATAAACAGTCATTGAACAGGTGAAGAAAGAAGAGTTTGTGCAAAGGTCCAGTGGTGGGAGGAGGTAGGACAACTTCCAAACAAGTTCCAAAGAAGACTTCTGGAGTACAAGGAGGGGGGAAGTGTGAGAAGACACCAGAGAAGCAGAGGCCAGGCCAGACGGGGCCTTGTGGATCATGGTGAGGGATTTTAACTTACTTAGGGAGTAATGAAAAGCCCTTGGAGCTCTGGTGGCACAGTGGGTAAGACATTTGGCTGCTAACCAGAAGGTCAGTGGTTCAAACCCACCAGCTGCTCTGTGGAAGGAAGATGAGAAAATCTATTTCCATAAACTTCACGGAGTTCACCATGAGTTGGAATGGACTTGGTGGCAGTGGGTGTGGTTTGGATTTGGTTTTGGAGTGCTGTAGACAAGGAAAAGTAGTGGGGAACTCTAGTGGTGCAGTGTGGTTAAGGCATTTGGCTGCTAACCAAAAAAGGTTGATGGTTTGAACCCACCAGCCACTCCAGCGAAGAAATATGAGGTGATCAGCTTCCGTAAAGAAACCCAACAGGGGTCACTATGAGTTGGAACTGACTTGGTGGCAGTGAGTTTGGTTTTCCGGAGATGGGCGAAGAACTTGGACTTGGCTTTTATGGTGAACAAACCAAAGAGGAGCCAGAGTGGGGGCAGAGGAGCCCTGGTGGTATAGTGGGTAAGGCATTTGGCTGCTAACCAGAAGGGCAGTGGTTCGAACCCACCAGCCAATACCTGGAAGAAAGATGAGGCAGTCTGATTCTGTAAAGACTGACAGCCTTGGAGACCCAACGGGGGTCACTATGAGTCTGAATTGACTCAATGGCAGTGAGTTTGGTTTTGGTTAGAGTTGGTGCAGGCAGACAAGCTTGGAGGCGGTGACGATAGTCAAGGTGAGAGATGGTGATGGTTCAGGATGGTGCCATAGAAGCTGGAGAGAAGACAGATCCTGGGGGGTGGGGGTTGGAGATCAAATCAAATTGTGGTTGGCCTGGGTAAGGTGGGTGAGGAAGGAGGAGGAGTCAGGGTGATTAGCAGCTCTCAGCCTCCTGTGCTTGGTTCAAACACAGGAAGAGGTCACTGTGGACCAGGTGGCTGAGGAGCTTGTGGGTGGAGCAGTCAAAGGAGTAGTTGGGAGAGGCCTGGGACTGATATGTGCATGTGGCAGAGAGAAGAAAAGGAACTTCTGTTCATCAAAAGACTTTACTCTGGTGGGTAGCAACTGGGGTCTTAAAAGCTTTGGAGCAGCCATCTATGATGCAACTATTGGTCTCCTCTCGTCTGGAGCCAAGAAGAGTGAAGAAAACCAAAGGCATCTGGAAACAAGAATATGATAGACCATGAGGACGTCAGCTTTCAGGACCCCGAGATCAGAAGAGATAGATGGTGCCCGGCTACCAATGCCAACTGCTTGGAAAAGGATCAAAACTAGAGATTCTGGAGAGAGTGGGAGGAAAAATATGGAACAAGATCAAAAAACACAAAAATGACCAGAATTACTGGTCAGATAGAGACTGGTGGAACCCCCAAGACTATGGCCCCGGGTTACCCTTCAGGCCTAGAAATGGATTCACTTCCATGGATTGACTCTCAGCCCAACAGTAGAAAGACCTACATGCAGAACACCTACCCCAGGGCGATGCACCCCTTAGTGCAATCAGCCATGAGACCTCAGAGGGGCACCATTCACACCGAGGGAAAGCTGGACAGACGGAATGCATAGTTAAGAGAGGACAAGGAAGGGGTAGTCACAGGGAAGGAAAGAGGGGAGAGTTTGTTATGGTTGGGGATTGTAGGCAGGGCCATGAAATCAAATGTGCAGGGACTGTTGAATGTAAAACAAATCTGCTTTGTTCATTTGCACCCAAAGCACAGTTTAAAAAAAAAAAAAAAAAAAAACTTTACCAAGAAAGTGAAAACACTTGGAGAAAACACATTTGTTTGGCTACCTGATGCCGCTCTAAGAGAAAAACCACAAATGGATGACTTTAACAAACAAACAGGAGTTTATTCTCTTACAGTTTTGGAGGCTAGAAGTCCAAGTTCAAAGTGCTACCTCTAAGGGCTGGATGAAGGCCCCTCAAACTTGGGCTTCGGCTCTGCCTCTTGTTCCAGGCCCACTGGAGCTGGAGGCTTTCTTCACTGAGGCAGCTGCTGGCTGCTGAGGCTGACAAACCCAAGGCTGACAAGCAAAAAGGCACAATCCTTAATATTACCAAACCACATGGCAGGCCACTGAGTCAAGTCGATTAAGAGTCCCAAGGTCGGCTGAGAACATGGCAAGCTGTTGAACAATGACTCGTCTACATGCAGGGTTCGAGTGTGCCAAAAGCTACAGCCCATTCCCAAAGCTTCTCCTTATGTACTGGAAGCAGACCACCTCCCTAAGGCAGCCACTCAGCTGTTCTAGTAGATTCCACCATGGAGCAGACTCATCATGGAGAGTACCTACATCCAGCTGTGCAGCCACTCAGAACCAGGCCCAGCCAAGCTGACACATAACTTTAACTGCCACATATACAAAACCTTCAACAACTTGACAACAAAAAGACAACCTAATCACTCTATGGGCAAAGGTGTAGGGGAACTCTAGTAGTGTACTGTGGTTAAGGCATTTATCTGCTAACCAAAAGGTTGATGGTTTGAACCCACCGGCCACTCCACAGAAGATATATGAGGTGATCAGCTTCCATAAAGAAACCCAATGGGGTTCCAACCCAATGAGTTGGAACTGACTTGGTGGCAGTGAGTGTGGTTTTCTGGAGATGGGCAAAGAACTTGGATAGTCTTGAGAGGAGAAGAGATAATCCAAGGGGACAACGGAGATGACAGGGGGATGATTGGAACTGAGGCTCAAGGATGCCCATGTACGTGGCCAAGTGGGAGGGTGTCTTCAAAGGGGCAGCTAGAGAGGAAGGAGAAAAGCCAGGAGGTGACCCAGCTGCTGGTCCTTGGAAGGAAGACCTCAGGCTAGCTCTGACTCATGGCTGCCTTGCGTAGGAACCAATATCCACTCAGCCCAGGGGGAAAAGGGAAATGGCTCAGTCTTCAGGGATGCTGTCCAGGACACAGACACGTCCCAAGATGTCCAAGTGCAGTCTTCGAAGGGCAAGGCCAGGGTTCAGGGAGAAGAGCTTGGTGACGGTCAGAAGTATGGCTCCCCTACCACTGTCAACCACTCAGAGGGCAATCTATGTGGGAGATCCTGGATGGAGTGGGAGAACAATATGGAACAAAACTCACGAATAGAAGAAATTGGGTAGCTTGTCAAGTAATGTCAATAAGGTACATGGCCCCCTTGTGGAGGTTGTTGTTGTTGTTGTTATGTGCCGTCGAGTCGGCCCGACTCATAGCGACCCCTCCTTGGGTTTCCGAGGCAGTATCACTACGGAAGTAGGATTGCCCAACCTTCCTTCCGAGGAGTGGCTGGTGGGTTTGAACCGCCAGCCTTCTGGTTAGCAGTCAAGTGCCTTAGGCACTATGCTACCAGAGCTCCCATAGAACCACGCAAATAAGGTGTGTGGAATCCCAATGTGAGGATTGGTTAGTTTTGTCATTTTGCCAGGCTTCAAGTGAGCCCTCCTGGAGGCAGAAGGGGGAATCTCACTGCCAACAAGAGGGAGGAGCTGGAGGTGGCCCCAAGAACCCTGCGCGGGACCTCCTTAGCAGAAACGACAGGCAGCAACGACCAGCCAAGGAACCAAGAGACACAGGACCGAGTGGTGGGCTTGCCGGCCCACAGAAAGAGAAAGCTGAGTGCCTGTGGGCAGGATGCTTGCTGGCAGAATGGGTGTACCTACGTGCATCTATCCCCAAAAAAGAAGACAAACAAACTCACTGCCATCGAGTTAATTCTGATTCATAGCGACCCCACTGGAATTCCAAGGCAGTAGATCTTTACAGAAGGAGATTGTCCCATCTTTCTTCTGCAGAGCTCCTGGTGGGTTTCAACCTTCAACCTTCTGGTCAGCAGGCAAAATGCCTTAGGCTCTATGACCCCAGAGTTCCTTGTCAGCAGAGCTAAACAAGCTTTGTAACACTTGCCTGAGCAGTGTAGAGTCCAGGCTGAGAGGCCAGGGGCCAGAGAGGTGAGCCTGAGGGCATAGCAGAGGAGAGACTGTCCTGATCGAAGAACTGTATCCTAAGAGTGTTCCTGAACCTGAATTGTAACCTGTTGCTTCCCTAATAAACTCCATAGGGTGAGTATTGTCTGTGAGTTCTGTGTGTCCACTTCAACAAATTATGGAACCCAGCAAAGAAGTAGTGAGTGCTGAGAGAGGGACGGTTGGAGTCAGAGTTGGTAAAAGACTGAAGGGTTGCGGCGTGTTTGGTCTCATAGGAATAAGTGTTGGGCTGCTGACAGTGATTCTGTCTCCGCCTCGTGAAGTTACAGAAGGTCAGGAGATATCACCCCCATGTCCATTTTGCAGGCCCTCGTTTCTGCACGCTTTATGGACAGACCTCATCTCTTGCCAGATACCCAGTACCAGTGGCTGTCAAGTTGATTCTGACTCGCAGCGACCCCCGTGTGTCAAAGTACAACCATGCTCCAGGAGGTTTCCTTGAGGGCATCACGAGGCTTTGCTCAAGAGGCACCAAGGGTGGACTCAAGCCTCCAACCTTTTGATTAGCAGCCGAGTGCTTTAATTTTTTGCCAGGGGCTCCCTTGCCAGATAACACCCCCTCAATTCCCCCAGTACCTGTGAAGAGATAGGGCAAGTTTGCAAGTCCAGGGAAGGAGTGCTGGGTGCCCTGGGACTGTGTGGCCCACTTGGACAGCAGAACCTTGTTTCTACAGTAACCTTCACGCTGGCTCCAAGATGATGGAGGGGCACACCGGCATTTTCAGAAGCCATGGGAGTCTCCCCAGTTGGATCACCCTCTTCAACGCCCCCACCCTGGGCTAGCAGAGACTGCTCTAAGGGAGGCCAATATCACAGTATGGAAACTCTCCGGAGGGGAGGAAACTAAGGCAGGCCCTCTCCCCGGGAAGCAGGTTAGCGCCACCTAGTGGCCAGTACTGGCCCAGGTTGCCAGGCCATGGGCTACGGAGTCTTTCCAGCTGGGGGAAAGTCCGAGGTGGGATCAGCCCCTCTGAGGCCAGCTCTCCCTGGGAAGGAAGCTGATGGAGTACCCCAAGACAAACTTGGTCCTCTGGTTGTGTTTTTCCCAGTGTGCTTGCTTTATTTCTATCCGTGTGACACTCACAGGTCGAAGGGGCCAGGGAGGGGACTTCTGGAGATGACACCATCCCACCTCCCTATCTACTGGTCCGGACACACTAGGACCGGCACGTGCCCTGGCTCAGCGCCACGGGGAGTGGTTCAGGCCCGGCCAGCTGTGATCAGAAGAGGGGACGTGTCCATACCTAATACTCCCAGCCGGGAAAGGAGACTCCACGGGGGGCAGACTCCGGGTGCCCATGTTGATAGGGGTGGCTCCTTTTCTGAGGCAGGGTTAGTGCCTCCTGCGGGGGCTTTAGGGGGGCTGGCCTGCTCCACGCGCCCTCCGCGCCCTCCTCTCTGGGACCCGCTCTCCTGCCAGCCTTGGAAGCCCTTCACTGGGGAAGGAAGAAGGTACCAGGCGCTGGGCGTGGCCTCCTCTCTCAGAAGCAGGTAACCCACCCAGGACCAAGGGGACACCCCTTTCCCGCTGAGGGGCGCTGCTCTGACCATAGGCTCCAGGACTCAGAAAGCTGTGGGGGCCAGAGAAGTCTGGCGTCCTTCCCTAGCCCCCCCACTTTTTTTTTTTTTTTTTTGGTAAATCTGTCCTCTCTGAGCCAGCCCCAAAGGACGCGGCCAAACCCAGGGGGTGCTCGCAGGGCCATCAGCAGCTGTCTTTGGGAAGCTTCTTGGCTCCGGGCAGGAGCCTGGAGGACGCCGACGCGCGCTTCTGGTGTCGCCACTTGGCCCGGCGGTTCTTGAACCAGACCTGCGGACGGGGATGGGGGTGCTCAGTTCCCGCCCCGAGACCTGCGCTCCCCGGGACTTCCCGCCGCGGGGGCAGGCGGGCGAGGCCTGCGGGGGCCCGCCTCGGGCTGTGGCTGCGCGCCCAAGTCCTCGGCTGCGGACTGTGGCTCGGGCCGCTCCACGGAACCCATTTCCCAACCCCACCCTGCGGCGGCCAGTACGTCTCTTCTGAACTTGGTGCCTTTCTGGGCCTGCCCAGTTCTCCTTTTATCATCAGGGAAAGACACAAAGGGGAAGAAAACTCGCCTCGCCTCCTCTCCCCTCCACCAGCAGCAACCCTCCCGCCGCGCCCGCTCCCCGCCGGCCCCTGCACCCCGGAACCTCGGCAGCGCGGGGCCTGGGGTGTCGGCTCGCGCAGCGCGCTAGGCTGCGGCCGTCTTCAGGAACCGAAGGGCGGAGACGCAGACGGCCGCGAGGACGCCGCCCGCAGCCGGCGCGGCCACCCACCTCCACGCGCTCCTCGCGCAGGCGGATGCGGCCGGCCAGGCGCTCCCGGGTGCCCACGTCGGGGTACTGGTTTTGCACGAAGAGCGCTTCCAGGGCCTGCAGCTGCTCGT